AACTCTTCACCATGGCTTACATGATCGAGCCCTTGACTTTCTCTACAGCCTCATCTCATGCCCTCTCTCCCTCCCTTAAATACTCTGGTCCTCCAGAACTTGTGTCATTACCTCTGGAATACCAGATTCTTGCTGCCTGGGTACAGGCTGCTCCATCTGCAAGGAACACTCTTTCCCCAACTCGTCATGGTTAGCAGCTGCTTCTCCTGTAGTTCTTGGCTTAATTATTCTCTCTACAGAGAGGCCTTTCTCGACCAACCTAGTTGGAATAAATCATCCCTTCTTACTATCTATTTCAGCCTATTGTGTGAATATCTAACATGCTGGAAACATGAATTAAAAATATGACAGGTAGAAAACTTTGACTGAGTACCACATAGGGATGGGGTGGTGGGAGGACACAGAGCAGGAGATCACACAGTTCTAGGGGCTGCATTGTATTCATCTTAGGATCAAGAATTTGGACTTTGGAAATGTGACTTTATGCAAGGCATCTTGCCTGTAATGAATGCCTTTTCATCTGAGTTTGGTACTGAATCACGTTGATTTAGAAAATGCAACACGTCTCTGTTGCACAAGAAGAATGAAGAAAAGGAAGAGGGGAGTTACACATAGGCCAACAATTTAAAGAGAGGCTCTCAGGTCCCAGAATTAGTAGTGACAGATGTAATCAAAGTGACAGACCATACAGAAAGACAGTGCTCAGGTGAAAGGGTCAGAGGCTCTTGGTAGGACCAGCTCCTGCCAGCTGGTGGTTCTCTTTAAGATCTCTTCTTGACTCAGAACTTAATTAGAGGGTTTTATGTGGTGCTTTAATATGGAAGATGTTTCCAGCCTTGAACAACCACTTCTCTAACTTTGGAGATCCTTCCTGTCACTGATACCATGGATAACGTGCCAGCTTAGTACACAGGCAGTCCTATTGAAGAAGCACTGTAAAAGTTTTGTCCTAGGGACTAAAAGCCCCTATTTATTTCTTTCACTTTTTTTTTGGAAGTACAGTTGATTTACAATGTGGTGTTAGTTCCTGGTGTACAGCATAGTGATTCATTTATACATATATATATATATTCTTTTTCATATATATTTTTCATTATAGGTTATTACAAGGTATTGAATATAGTTCCCTGTGCTCTACAGTAGGACCTTGTTGTTTATCTATTTTACATATAGTAGTCAGTGTCTGCAAATCCCAAATTCCTAATTTATTCCCTCCTTCCTTTCCCCTTTGGTAATCATGTTTGTTTCCTATATAAGTAAGTCTGTTTCTACTCTGTAAATAAGTTGTGCCATTGTTTTAGATTCCACATATAAGTGGTATCATATGATATTTGTCTTTCTCTGACTTACTTCACTTAGTATGATAATCTCTGGGTCCATCCATGTTGCTGCAAATGGCATTGTTTCATTTTTATGGCTGAGTAATATTCCATTGCATATATACACACCACATCTTCTTTATCCAATCATCTGTCAGTGGACATTTAGGTTGCTTCCATGTTTTGTCTATTGTAAATAGTGCTGCTATGAACATTGGGGTGCATGTATCTTTTCAAATTAGAGTTTTCTCTGCATATATGCCCAAGAGTGGGATTGCTGGATCACATGGTAACTCTGTTTTTAGCTTTTTAAGGAACCTCCATACATAAAAGTTCCTATTTCTATCTCAGTAGTCCCAGATCTACAAGTAGATTTTGTACATGGTGTAATGCTTTACCAGCAGCCAGTTGGAAGACAGAGATCAGGATATACCTGCTTTTGAGTTCAGGTGGGACCTGGAATCAGCTACATTTAGGCTGGGCTTCAAGATGAATGCTCTGAGAGAGAATTCCCTGAAGCCTGAGGTCAGGAGCATCCTTTGAACCCCCATTTCCCAGGGCTTGATGCCACCTGGCTCGCAGTCCCTCCCTTTGCCATCGTGGATTTCTACCGCTAGGCCTTAGGCTCCACTCCAGCTCCTGCAGAAGAGTTAGCCTACAAAATCCCAGGCACACTCTAAGATCCACTGACTTGTATTCTCTCATTTAACATTGCCCAGTCTGCTCTTCCAGCTTGGCCAACCATTACAAGCTTGTTTATTCCTCTTCAGCTCAGCACTAGGGGATCATTTCTCCAAAGCTATGACATAAATGTGCATGTATGGTGGGTGTTACAGGCCACATCTCTCTGGGCCCCTATAATCCCTCAACAAAGATTAGTGTTAACTATTTTACTCCTTCCCCCTCCCCCTGAGGCTCAACCTTGAAGAGAGTTTACTTCGACCACATCAAATGAAGTATGGACTGTCTTTAAATGGAATAATTGTTGTTGTAAAAAACCTATGTGAAAAAACACCCATCCCCTCGTTCCTGTAACCGACCCTCAACCTCATGATTTAATCACTTCATTTTAGAATAATGCACTCGGCTATTTCTGAGACAGCTGTTGACTTTTCTCAAACAACGAATAATAAGATGTGGCATTAACTAAGGCAGCCAAACATAGTTTCTTCCTAGGGCTAAGATGCTTTGAATTAAAATTTATTAAAAACAACATGAACTGGCTATTTTTGGGTTAGGGTTTGAGGTATTACCTAAGTCCTGATTGAAAATGGTTTGTGAGGTTCTGTAAGAGCAGCCTTTTTCTCCTTTTTCTTCCTTCCTTTCTTCCTTCCTTCTTTCCTCCCTTCCTTCTTCTCTTCCTCCCTCCCTCCCTTCTTAAAGTGGTATCTTATACTGGAATAATGTAACAGATAAGAAGAAACCACTGGGAGTTCAACAGCATTTATAGAATTATGAGGATAATCCACTAACAGTGAGAGCAATAAAGGAAAACAGAATTTAACTGGCAAGAAGCAGCAGGTCATTGCCTGCAGGGGATGGTCCAGTCAGAAATCTGACTGTTTCATGTGTGTGGATAATGTAATCTAACACAGATGCTGAAACAACTTATGCTATAATGATATCATATTTGATATGTTCTACTTGATTGTAATCAAAGTTCAATTTCCGAGCACAATTTAATATAATAAGATATATTATAGACATTTATTAGCCAAAATTGGATTTAAAAAAACAAAGTGGTATTGGCCCCAAATGAAAGCAAACTGGGCTGAGGCCAAAGGTGAAGGGAGCCTTATGGACAGCCAAAAAGTCACAGCAAGAGACATAAAACTGGGGCCCCCGCATTTGAGAAGACTCCAGTGCTCTTCAGTGAGACATCACATTTGTCTACAAGCTTTGGGAGAATAACTTACATTTCAATTTTACAAAACTGGTATTTGCGGTGAGTTTTCAATTAGGTGCATAGAAGTCTTTAAGTGGAAGAGTATGGCGATATCTCTATGGGTTTGTGAATGTGGAATTGAATCCCCTATATTTCATTTCTGCTGTAACTTAACAATGGCCAATAGATGATATGAAACACTGCTGCCAGAGAGGAATGAACTGACGGCATAATCAGAATCCTATTAGGGGGTTGGATGACCATCCAATCTTAGATTTTTGAAGAACTAAACAGATTTAAAATGCACTAGTCCTTTGTCCTTATAAGCATATTAGTATTTTCAGGCCACATCATTTTCTTTTGAGATATAGAGTCACTACACTTAAACATTCTAAGAATATAAAAAGAGCAAAAGTTTTAAACAAAATGCTTATTACATAGAATTTGAATAAGTAGTAACATAATGTATAAGTAAATGCTATATTTTAAATTTTATATTTCAGGTATGAAAGCATAATTGAAATTGAAAACTGATTATTCTTGATTCATCATTTGATTAAAAAAGAGAACAGTGGTGAAAACTTCTGAAGTATTCCCAGAAGCATTGAAAAATAAACAAGAGAGAAAATGTTAAATCTGCAATAAAATACCATTAATCATACCTAACTGGGGCTTCAGAAAAATGTGTTATCAAACAATCATAAAATTGGAAACTTTGCTTTATAATAGCATTGAGGATATTTATTAAAACTTTAAAGTTGACCATATTTCAACTGAAACCATTAGCTTCCTAAGTAGAAAAATTTTACTAGCAACACACAGATTTAAGCTACTTAATCTAGATTATTTGCCAGGTGATTTTTAGGTAACCATAGTGATCAGACCTTAAGGATTTTCAAAAGGTTAATAGCAGCTGATAGCACAAGATTGATTCAATAGCCATTTATCTGTATTCATGAACAGGAAATGAGAAAGGATGTGTGAGAGAACAAACATCTAGAGAAAAAATTAGGGAAGATATAAGCACCTGTGTTTAACCATACTCTCACCACTGTGGCTGTGACCAAACCCCTCCTGCAATACACACACACACACACACACACACACACACACACACACACACATTAAGACTCACCGATTCAGGGATTGGGCACTGCATTAGGATTTAAGGGGAGCTGAAGGCTAGGGATACCCAGGTTTTAGTGCAACTTAAAATGTAATCTGTAAAGCCTCTGGTTTAATTTGATCAATACAGGCATTCAAAATCCATAACGCAAGTTCCAGAGTAAATGTTTTTATCAAATTGGTCTTTAATTAAATTTAGAAGACAACTGAAATTTCCATTTTGCTCTATTAAAAACAAGAAGTTTAACCAGACATCAGGCTGTCTAATATCACAGAGATAAAACATCTACATAATTAGCCTGTTTTTCAGTTTTTTAATCCAAATGTTTGCTATCTTTAGACACAAAGTGGATTAAGAATTAGTCATGATAACTCAATTTCTTTGATTTATGAAGACAGTGTGACTCAAAATAATGACCTGTCCAATGCGCAAAGGGTAACTGCTTTCATGTTAGAAATATTCTGAAGTCATCTCTGCAGTTGGTCTAGAATTATAACAAATAAACCAGAAAACATTTCAAAGTACTACTAAATATATCATGTTTTAATAAAATTTAAAGTGAAATATAATGACTGTTCTTCAGGTTATATTTTTATGATGATTAATTTTATTTTTCAAATAATGAATTAAAAATATAGGTGTGCTACTCTTGAGCATGAAATGGACTAACCTTGCAGGTGTTTTCAGTGCTCCGGAGAGTTCAAGGTCCATGTGCCTGTTAACAGTGACCTTCTCAACAAGCCCTGTAACACACAGAAGGACAGAGATAATGGTCCACCACAGGTCAGGAGTAGAAGACTAGAATAAAATAAAGTCACAGGTACATGCAAGAAGCATTTATTTTTAACACACAGAAAAGCTATATATTCCTGGTTAGTGCAATTATGTTGAATTACTGCTCACAGAGAACTTATATGAAGTAGACGGGGTAAGTCTGGTTGCCAAATTAATGCCAGTGAAGAAAAAAATGAGTATCTTCAGAATTTAACGGAAACCAGGGAGAGGCTGTGGGGCAAAGACTCTCAGTTGCCATATTTTTTTTTCTTTTTAATATTCTAAAATGGCTTTCTGCAAAGAAATATTAAAAATGTCACCTCTTTTATGCCAAGCAATCACTTCATTGAGTAATTACAAATTTCAAAAGCTGGTGGGCAGTTAGTTTACTGCCCTTTAGAGATGTCTTATCTAAACTGTGGCTACTTAATTATGTGTTAGTCCAAACTCCCTTTTAATCCCTAGGACCCCTGCTGGAGTTGTGGCTTCTTACAAATCGATCTCCAGTCAGAAGCTTCCATGGTTCCTACATTAATAACTTCAATAGCTCTTTCTTTCCTCCCACACCTTCTCAAGTAATGCCTAATCCACTAGCATCCTGAAGTCGTTCTTTTTATTAGACAGTTAAACTTGAATCTCTTTTATCCCCTATTGCTAGAATAAATCCAGGTGTCTTAGTGCTTCTCTGACATGGAGTCTATAGCCAGTTTCCTCATTCATACTTAAGGAGTTCAGGATTTTCAAGGTAGTTAAACTGATCTTTCCAGAGTCTGATTTGAACAGTTAAAAAAACTCAAAAACCTGTCTTTTAAAAATGTTCATCATCCTACTGTCTTCAGGAAAAAAAAAACCAAAACCTTCCTCAAGTATTATTTGTTGTGTTCAGTTTCTCAGACGTTCTAAGAAAATGTGTTTTTTGGTTGCTTACAGTATTCCATAGTAGTATCTCCCAAATATCAAGATAACATTTGTTGTACTATTTACTTTGTTCTTTCTTGCTTTGCAGCAGCTGATTTTAAGGGAAGGGAAGGAAGTTAAGAGGAAAAGACTTAAAAAGAAAATGATAGTACATATATTAAAAAATAATCCTTTCAAATAAGGAAGTAAATGTATTACTGAATCAGCGTTTAGTTTAAACAAGTGAGCAAATGCACTTTTTGCAGCTGCTGCAAATTCATATGTTAGTTATGCAATTTCTGAATCTAGCATATCAAAGTGGTGCTAGTAAAATGAATATATACCATGTTTAATTATCGCTGAAAAATGAATATATACCATGTTTAATTACCGCTGAAATGAAATTATCGCTCATATAAATCAACTATCAGTGGCCAATAAATATATCAACATAGGCATATAGTAAGAATTGGCTGAAAATATATCAGAACGAGCTGGGTATAACCACAGAAGACGGTCTTTTTTTTTTTTTTTTTTTCCTTTCACAAGGTACACAAATATTTCGGCCAAATTCCTTTTAGAAAAGAGGAATAATTCATTATATCCTCCTTGTATCCTCTCAAAGCTTTATAAACACAGGTAAACATCAACATTTTCCTCAGAGAAGTTAAACATTCTCCTAGTACAAAATTGCAGAAGGAAAAACTCATAATATAAATATTACTTTGGGGAAACGCAGTTTACTTATTCATATTTGGTAGGTTTTGAAAATATATGTATATTTCTAGTTTCCATTTTTCCAAATGAATGTGACTTTTGAATGTCTCTTTTGCTGGGGTAAAGAAAACTGTCTGGTCCACGGGACTTGCAACATGGATTGAAACGACAAGTGTTTCACCAAGATGTCAAAACAGGAAGATGTTCTGGCATAACTGGCACTGGTAGTAGCACAAGAAAATACCGGCTAGTCTTTCTGATGAAGAATTCTATTAGAGGACAATCTATACTGAGTCTGACTATAAGAGTGACAATGCAGGATTGTCTACTGTATTTATTGCTTGCATACTGAATTTCCTAAGCTCACTGATCCGTGACTGAGCACAGAACTATTTTTATGTGGTTATATACTTCAAATAAATATCCTTAAAAATAACCTTAGGAAATTACACTTAGAAGATGCTGAACAGTAGAGTAAGGATTCTTTATAAGATGTTCACAGGTGAGAATGTAGGCCACACCAAATGACTCTCTGGGTAGCTAGAGGATCCCTTCAAACTGACGGATTTGTTACCAATCATTTAAATATATTTACAGGTATAAGATTAAACATTGTGGTCACCAGAAAGGAGTGCTGGCCCATGACTGAGAGCAACTAAGTCTAACTTTCATTTTTCTATAACTAGCTATGTAAACTTGCAAAAAACCACCTAGTCTTTCTTCATCTTTAAAATTAGGACTGCACATTGGTCAGAATAATTTTGAAGATAAAATAATATAGATTGAAAAGAGTTGAAAAGTTTAAACTACAGAAGTTAACCTGTTGATTGCTAATAACCATACAAGTAATTAAAAGTTGGACAGCTATTCCCAAACTAATCTAGACGTTGTATGACTTATGATGTTTCTGGCCTTCAATAGGCCCTGGTTAAACATTTATTTCCCTGAAAATATGGAGAAAGTCGTTTCACAAGCACCTGGGAAAACAGGTAATTTAGTTTCCCAATTGAGTTCTGATTTTTACATGAAGCGCTGTGATTGGCTGCTGTCCTACTAATGCTAACTGGACAGCAGAGACAGTGCCAGTTTGCTCTGCAATGTGGACTTCTGCACGTGCATGCTTGAGAAAGGATGCCTGTCTGTCCCTCAGTGGCCTGGGAATCACTGGGCTTTGCCTTACGAAGGCAGTGAGCAGTGAAGGGGTAGGGCAGGTGGGAGGGGGCGATGTGTTTCTATGGAGTCCTGACACTTTTGGTGGAAAAGATCAAAGAGCAGAAGCAGTGGAAGGTGGAAAAATCAATGGAGAGTGTGGAAAGGGCTGGTGTGAAAAGACCCAGAGCAAGACAAAGAATATGGGGCAAAAGAAGTCAGCCTAAGAGCACTTTTCTGAGCTCTTCTCTCTCTCCTTCTGGGTAAGAGCTTGGGGGAATCACTGCATATTTGTTTGCTTCTTATCTTCTGAAACCTTCTGAAAAGACATGAAGCAGACAAAGCAAAGTGGGAAAGGAAGCATGACAGCTTAGTGAACTTGGGGCAGGCTCCAAACCTCCCACTGTGTTTCAGCGTGGGTGGGAGCTTCTCGCAGGCTCTCTGGAGGCTGCTAGCTTGCTCCGTCCACCTTGCCATGGAAGCAGGCCCTTCCTGACCGATGAAGAAATTCCCATCAGAAATTTCAGGAATTGCAGGTCCCTGTGCATTCAGGCCCCAGAAGCCGTTTCAGGGTAAAACAGCTTGTTGGTCTTTGATGTTGTGTTCAATCTGAACATACAGAACTTGGAAAGAGAGAAGGAGCAGAGGGCAGTTTCAGTAAGTTTTCCGTCTAACACAGGGAGAAGACAGGCTCTCAGGAGGAAAGGGACTGAGAGTAGCCACATGCTTGGCTCTGAACCAAAGTTCTGCCACTTCTTTAAGTTACTGAGCCTTCCTCTGCCTCATTTTCCCTATCTGGAAAACAGAGACATGTTATGTAAAGCTCTGATATTTAAAAAGTTTAAAGGAAATGATGTATATGAAATACTAAGCATACTGTCTGGCACATTATAACCGACTCAATAATGGTAACTACTATTCAGGCCAAAACTTAATTTCTTCTTATTGTACTAAATCCAGATTGATTGTTACTGTACCTTTTAAATCAAGGTCAACTAATCACAGCGTTTCTTTCTTTAAAAATGTATGTAAAGCTTTCTTTTAAGAATTACAGGTAGAGACACATAGCATCATATTGCCACAGATCTTTTTTTCCCTTTTAAAATGAGGAAAGGTAAATTATTTACCAAATAGATTCAGAAGTTAAGCCTAAAATAAATATATACCTACACACATACATGGCAACTCTGCATCTACATTTAATCTGAGGATAACTGCAATGAGAGATGATCTTGGCCGTGAATGTGTCTGGAAAGTATAGACTTTCTCATTTGATAATTACTCTGGGTATCTAGGGGAAAAAATGCTTGCAGTTGTAAAATTTGCAATTTCATGTAAGGATGAATATTTCCCCCAACCCCTGAATGTGTAAATATTATCTCAGTTTGAAGATAGGGAGAAGAGGGACAAAGAACAATTGATGCTTTCGTTCAACAGTATGTATCCAATGGCCACTATGAATCAGGCACATATGAATACAGTCAAAGCACCATCAAGTGCTGCCAAGAGTAAGATCTCCCAGATGTCCTATTGCAGGAGGTGGTGGGTCTGGATGATGGGTATTTGGAAGGATGCTGTAAAGGGAGAACCCAGCTGGGAGGGGGAAGCTTTGGGGTCGGGGAAGTGTCAGCCACAAAGTCCTGGCAGCTTGGGAAAAGGGGTCTTTCCCTACTGCCGCTGAGACTCATCTTTTCCCCAGCACAGAGTCTGATGCATCGCAGGTCCCCCGTGCCTGGCTTCTTGCTCCACTTTTGCCTCTTCTCCATGCCCTCCATTCTCAGGAGAGGCCATGGGAGCAGCTGGGCCGAGGAGAGCAGCCTCTGCCGTGGAGAGGGTCCCCACCCAGAGAACCAGATTGCAGTGGCCCTTGTCAGTGCGGTGTGAAGTGTGGCTGGGTCCTTCTGTCAGGATCACATGAAAGACTCAGTAAAATGCAGATTCCTTTTGTCCCATAGAACAAAACTGCAGGCATGCATGAAGCACGGGTACTCACCAGCTCTGAGACCCTTCTGCTTTTTTTTAAAACCATTTTTGAAAATCGAAGTATATATAGTTAATTTATAATGTTGAGTTAGCTTCAGGTGTATTTTTTCACCTCTTCCGAAAATGTGTTAAAATAAAGATCAAAATAATGGCCGTGGGGCTATAAACCCTTTATTTTTCCACGCGGTACACCTAATACACAATCTATTCCTCTGCCCTTGTTTTAAGGGACAGAATTCATACTAGCATTTGAGAGAAACATTTTTGAGAGAAACAGGGCTTTTCTTTTTCTTTCTTATCGTTTTCCTGCTGTTTTTGTCTTGCTTTCCAATAAAGAGGTACTGGTAAGCTACAGGTATCCCATTCCTGAAAATGACAGCTAAATAGAACAGAGAACTGGTTTGGGTTCAAGGCCTGACCTCACCACTTATTAGCCATGAAACTTGAACAAGTCTCTTTACCTATCAGTTCCTGTTTCCAAATCCCTGTGACATAGAGTATCTTCTCAATTGACGATTAAATGAGGTTTTATGTGTAAAGAGCTAAGCAGAGGACAGCCCAGAGGTGCTCAGTAAGTTCTGGGAACCTCCCCAAACTTTATCCAAATTCACCACCAATCTCAGTCCTCATCATGGTGGCCTATATATCCTTTCTCAAACTCTAATTCTAATAATCTCTTATACTCTTCCCTTTGCTGATAGCACCTACCTCCTTTGTCCTCAACTATCAAGGAAAGTCTACTTTTCAAGATCCAATCGAAAGGACATCTCTCCTCTGGTCTTCTTTCCCAGTTCCCCTGGTCCCAGTCAGCCCACCGCTTCTCTCTCTTGTAACATTCCTCGCTCATAATACATGTACATGAACCATAATTACGTACTTGGCCTATCATGCCTACTAGACTGTGTAAAACGCTGTAATTCTTAAATCCTTAGCACTTAGCTTGGTGCCTGGCACATAACACGTAGTCAAATCATATATACATTATACATACACACACATTATTTTTCTGAATGCCTGAGTAGAATGGATGCATTCACGCATGCATGGCTGGATACTACGAGCGTGCTATCGGGGAAGCGATGGGCCTATGAGAGCTGCGTGCTTGTCCTAGGGTCCCTTCCCCGACTCCCCCGCCCACCGTGAGGCAGGCGCTTAAGGATAACTGCCTCCATCTGAGTTCCGAACGGTTCCTACGCTTTGGGACTCAGCTCCGCAGGTCACCGGCAGGGGGCGGCGTTGCCACGCAGCCGGATGCCGCGGGCGACTGCCCCCCCCATCCCCGCCCCCCTCACACCCCAGGCGCGCAGCTTTGGTGACTGGGCCGGAGCTCCCCCAGTTCGGAGGGAGGGTGGGTCTTCCTCGCAGGTTGGGGAGCTGGGGTGGCGCGGGGCCACGGGCGGGGGATTCCGCTCTCCAGGCGCCCCCCCCACCTTTGCTCCTACCTCAGCCTCCCGCGACCACCAAGTGAAGGCAAGTTACTCTCAGTTTGGAAAGAGGCAGCGAGCGGCCAGAATCGACGGCCAGAAGCAAGGGAGGCGCTTTCTAGCAAAGACTTAAGTGTGAGCGCGGGCGCGCGCGGAGATAACGCTACACTTCATCCGATAAGGCGACCGAAGTTGAGGGCTGGGGGAGGCACTCTTGTATCCTTTGAATTGTACTTTCACGGCTCGTGGCAAACT